ACACAGTGCACTCTTCCTCCTACGATACTCAGCACTGATCCAGACGTGACTTTGTATCTGCCCTTTGCACATCTCAAAAATCACGTTCTCCAAAGACTATTCAAATACTGCCCATACTGGAAAAGCTCCCTAAATGTCCATGGGTCAGTGACTCATGTTGTCCTCTGTGTGTCTAACAGCACTAACTTCACCTGCATTTCCACAGCACTCACTACACAACACCTTGTACCACGGCTACACCTCTTCTTCTCTAATCCTATCCTGACCCCCAAATATCCATTAGGCCTGCAACGTTTGGATGATCATTTATTGGCGCCAGAGAATGAATAGAAGTTCTAGTCCCTGCCTACTAATTTAGCACATGAATTACTTAGCACATGAAAATACAAGAAGGACGAAGTGAATGTCCCAACTGTCATGAGCCAGGACTTGCTTCCTATTCAGACAGCACAGACATATGAACATAGCAGGCTGCATTCTTAAAAAGCTGTTATACAGATATACTAACAGTCTAAACACATAGCAAGCTGGTTGCATTTACAGTTAAGAGGAGAACTGAGAGGTTTCTCCTCTTCCCCATTTGCTTATAAGACCATATGAAGAGATACCACTGATACAGTAGAATGGAAAGAGTAACTAGTTGAGTAAAATAGAAAAAAATATGACAAAGGAAAAATGCTAACAGGTTTCGACCTTTTCAAATAAATCCTCAAGTACTGTTATGACACTCAATGACAACAGTTGTCCAAGAAACTTAAGAAAACTTATGAAGCTAACAAATAACAGATATCCACTGTCATTTTGCTTCTGAATTTCTCTAGAACCCAAAGCAATGCTTCCTTATGTTACTGTGAGTTACCCAGAGTCTTGCATCATATGCACAGCTGGTCCAGTACACAAGTACCTTGCTTCTACCTTAAGAGTATTATCCTTGCCCATCTAGTCCTCTCAACAATGAGCAAGAAACATGTGCTTCCTACCTCTGACAGAAGACTCAGACCCACTGCTTTAAGAAAAAATCTAATCTTAATCTAGGCAAGCAGTATAACAGCATGAAAGATTAGTTACTTAGTCTTGATGTTTTATCTGGTATCCAGTATGCTTGGCATCCTTTTGCTTTTTCCTTAATCATCTCAGTCTTTAGCCAATAGATACAAAGATCTGTATAAGATTAACAAGGAACACTCACATTCCCTTTGTCTTAATTCTAGGCCTCATACAAATCTCCATCTTCCCACACTTGAGAGTTATCACAACAAAACAAAGTTCTGAATGTAGCTAGACTACTCAATATCATTTCTTCAGTCAGGCCTATAGCTGGTCACTCATTTCTCACACTAGCAACAGAATAATTCACCAGTATTTTTGATACAAATTATTACATTAAGATCCAAGCATATGCAAGATTGGATTTCCTTAAAAAGTATGCTTGTCTTTAACCAGCCTTCCAACATAAAAGGATCTTTAATTCTGGAGAAGTTGTTGTCTGTTTACTTTTGACAAGGGCAAAAAAAGTAGATTCTTTGCCAACCCCCGTCTCCCCTCTCTGCCAGTGACCTTGAATATACATAATGAACTGAATGGAATATCATTATGAGTCAGATCACTATCGCATCTCCATCTGCCCCAGCCACAGCCCACATAGACATCATACAGAGAGAGCTAAACAGAAGCACACTCAAGTACAGAACCAGGAACACCAGGAGTCTGCTACTGTAGAAGAAGGAAAGCCTCCTTCCTTCATACTCACAATATGAACTCAGAATTCTTTTCTTTTTTTCAGCTTGGAACAGATTAGAATTAAACTGTTAATGGCTTGCACATCCCTCAGAAAAATACATCACTCAACAAATCTAACAGTGCTCAAAAGAGAGATTTTTAATTTTCAGATTTACCTGGTTTAAAACAACAGCAGCAATGCAAAGGGATCCTACTTAATGTTCCCTTCTTTGTGTGACCTGGGATCTCTAGTCACCAAGCACTACAGACTGAGCAAGGCAGATGTGTACCTTGGGATGGCCCATGTGATCCTGGCAGAACAACTGGAAGATATACCTACAAATTCCTACTCAGGCAGCCAATAACCTCTCAGTTCAGAAAGTTTTATAAAAATACAAATTATAAAATCTGTTAAGATGAACTGGAAATAATAAAATTTGTGAAAATACAAACAGTAATAAAAAGACCAGGTAGTATGTGGGAAGTGTATGCTTTAGTAATTTTTTTCTGTAAATCTAAAATTGTATGAAAATAATGTATACATTAAAAGAAACAGGAGAAAAGTTAGAACCTCAGAATAATATGGAAGAAATAACTATAATCTTTTTCTTAACTTTATGGCCTCACCAACATAAAACTGTTATTAACCAGTTCAGCTCTGGGAGATCTAGTCTGTGTAGTGCCAAATAATATCAATAAATTTCTTGGGTTGCTGTTTTACTCATTAATTTAATGACTATGCTATGTGGCTATATGACGGTATAATTATATCTTTTCTCTCTAAATAAAATATAAGCAATTTTAGAACATAGTCAGCAAATAGAATAACGCCTTTAACATAGTAACATCTTGCTACTTGCAATTTATAATGTCTGTGGTGGTTTGAGAGAAAATGGCCCCCAAAGTGAGTGCACTACTAGGTGGTGTGGCTTTGGAGTAGGTGTGGTCTTGTTGGCGGAAGTGTATCACTGTGGAGACAGGCTTTGAAGTCTCATAAATGCTCAAGATACTGCCCAATGTTTTAGTCCACTTCATGTGACCTTCTGATCAAGAGGTAACCAGTGCCATGCTGCCATGCTCCCTGCCATGATGATAATGGACTGAACCTCTGAACTGTAAGCAACCACCTAATTCAATGTTGTTGTTTTTTAAATAACAGTTGCCGTAGTCATGGTGTCTATTCACAGCAATAGAAACTCAAACTAAGACAGTGTCACACTGAAAGTGTTCAATATTTGCTGTTTAACTGCAAAGTGGCAAGGACACAATACCAACAATGCACGGTGGTCTCTGAGAGCTGCACTATAAAGACTTTCCTCCCCCTGTATGTCATACATGCTCTAAATGGCTGAACTATAAGCTTTTTTTCTTTTTACCTTGGGTTTTCCACTTAAAAATAGACAACGTGTTTGTAGAAGACTATAGGGAGACAGAGGATGCCAAAATGCTGGTGAACATAGTGAGTGGAAACAGGTACAATTCCTTTACTTTGCTCCTCAGTTCTTATGGTTGAGCAAGGGTAGTGGCTTTCTCTAACACAAAGACTAAAAAGTGAAAGATTACCTATTTATTTCTATGCAAAACCTCAAAGACTAGATATAGCCAATGAAGGTGACCAATGCTAACATCCATCAACATCATTAGTGTTATACTGTTGGTACCTCACCTGCCCCTCTACCCTGAATTTGCTGGCCATAACAGGAGGCAGCAGGGGTCATCCAAGTTTGTTGTTGTTGTTTTCCAGTTCAAATTTCTGGGCATCCCATATTCTGGTTTTAGAAGATGAAATACAGCTGCCAGGCCATTAAAGGTGGTGCACATCTTTAATCCCAGAACTCAGGAGACAAAGGCAGGCTAAGCTCTGAATTTAAGGCCAGCCTGGTCTACAAAGCAAGTTCCAGGACAATCAGGGTTACATAGAGAAACTCTGTCTTGAAAAATAAACTAATTAATTAATTATGAAAATAAAGGATGAAATGTGATATTTGACAATTCATCAAGGATTGCAGTTCTGCGAGCTCACTCATAACCTCTCCATGTTCTATTTCTTTGGACCAATTCTAGAAGTTCAAATGTAACTTATCAATGGTTGTCACACCCTGCTTTACAGTATATCTTCCTGCCTATTAGAAGCATTAGATATGCTTCCATGTCTAGCCTTTATCAACAAATAAATGGGCCAACTGGGAAAAAAGCCAAAGCCTTCTGCTGGAAAACTTTCAAGGTAGATAAGCACTCTAGTTCTACATTTAATTAAGTATGGTTGAGTAATATAAATAATAAACTAAGAGCAAAAGTCACCAAAGGGCTATTATATTATTAGATTTGTGGCATCCTTCAAAAACCAGAAGAGAACTGGGACTACTGCATCCCATCAGATTCAAAGAACATGAATATAAATGACAGCGTCAAGTGCCAAGGACAGAGCAGGACTGAAACACCCACGTCTTTCCAAAAGGATAACTACTTGGGGGTCTCACTCACAAACCCACCACTTCCTTCCAGACCAAAGCCATGTGAATACACAATAAGAGAGAAAAAAACGGTTCTCTATTTAAAGCAGTGGTTCTAATGTGTAATAAAGAATTTAAATGGCAGAGAGGTAAATGTTAAAATATGAAAATGAACGTGGAGCTCAAGAGTTTGTACAATGCCTTCAAGTCACACATTTGGTATTTCTGAACTCTATCAGCACACCATCATTCACTAATAGTCCTTATATGTACTCGGTAGTCATTAACACAGTCTAACTCAGTATCAGCTCCACAGAAAATAGCCATATTCTTTCCTTCTCTTCTCTACTTCCTTCTATAGTTTCCAACATTCCAAAATTTACTAAAATATAAAAATGAATGATTAGGTTATAAATTATTTCCTTCCCTAAAATGGCTCAGGTAAAAATACATGATAAATACAGATTAAAAAAAAATCAAAACAGAAAAACATTTTTGATGTTTCTGTATTTTTGATCATTTTTGATCTCGCTGTATTTCCTCAATGAGCTGTCAGAATCCATTAAATTTATATTTAATCTATTCAGTGTAATACCTCTTAGAATTTAGCAATTACAGATATAGCAGGATTATGTATGTTTTAACTTTTCCATATCTATCAGATATTTTTTCTCAATGTATAATCCTATCAAGCTATTGCTATTTCAAGAATTTAAATTGAATGTAAAGATAATGAATGAAAGCATATGTCTATCAGAAATAGTTCCAAATCTAGATTTCCTAAGTTTATGAACTGTCTAAATATCAAGTAATTTCAACTGAGCATACCTCTTGTAGAAGACGTGGGTCTACACAGTCACCGTCATCATTAAACATCGATTCCCAGCTTTCCTCCGCAGCAATACTTCCTTGTATGTGAGAAGTGTCTGTTGTTTTTAGCTCTACAGATGTTTCCACAGATGAATCTCTATCAGAAAATGATAGAGCACACACTGTGTTCCCTGAGTCATCTTCCTCTTTTGTTTCAAACTCTTCAGCACTTCTTAGCTCGTGCACTGCCTCTGTTATCTCCTCAGTACTATTCAGATCGCTGCCCAAGGCACTCTCCAAAAGGAGGTTAGTTCCATTTGACACACTCAGTTCAGAGTCCAAACAAGTGGTACAATTACTATCAGCAATCTTCTTTATGGGTAAAGAGGAAGCACAACCTGACACATGCTCTATCAACTTTCCTGTTGACTCTGTAAAACTAGATGCAAAGCTCTCAGCATAAATATCAGAGCAGGCAGTTAGGCTGCTACCATTTTCAGAGTCGTTCTCACTTTTAGCTACATCAAGAAGGGCTACATCTGCACTCATTTCTATAGAGTCTGAAAAATGATTTGTATTGCGACTACTCTCATCAGATTCTCTGACTATATAAGGGCTGCCTCCAGTTACATGAGCACAAACTGCACCTGCAATGGCGTCCATACATGCCTTGCTGCCAGTGCCACACACACTTTTAAATCCATTATCTGTGTCTGTTTCATGAGCAAGGACAGCTGTATCAGAAGGCTCATACTTTACACATAACTCATCAGCAGAGCTGTCACTCTCACACTCTCCAGTCACTGTTGGATCAATAATGCCATTTGTGCTCTCTAATTTGCTGACTATAGCCATTTTAAGAGAAATGCTACCCATAGTCTCAGAAATGGAATCTACACCTTTCTGACCCAAGACAGACTCTGGAGTGTTGACTGCATCCTCATTCTCAGCTTCAAAGTCTGTAAAAGTTGGATCAACATCGTCATCTGAACCTCCAGGAACAGAAAGCGCAGAGATGCTCCCAGGAGTGTGCTTTGACACTCCATCTGATGTTTTCACACTGTGTGGTACAGTTTCAGAATCAGAACTTGGAGTTACTAGCACAGCCGTACCCTCTGGTTTCAACCGAGTGGTAACAACTTGAGGAAACTGGGAGACTAGCTCCATAGCATTGGCCTCAGTTTCAAGTCTGCTGTCCAACTTTCTATTTACAAAAGTTTCTCCACTGAAATCACAAAGCCCCACATTCTGGAATGCTCTATTTAGAACCTGAGCATCACCGGCTTCTAAGTAAGACTTCGATGGAAGCACCTTCTGGGGTCCCATCACTCCTGCAGTTGGAACTTCCAAACACTCCACTTCCTTTGGTTTAAAAAGTCTTTGCAGAGGTCCACTACATATAATCCCAGCACTGGGGGCTCTGGGTTGATGTTCTTGAGATGAGGCTTCTTTGGACTCTTCAATTCCTCTCTTAATACAAACCTTGTCTTTACTCTGTTTTTGGAGGCACTCATCTTCCCTTAATTTTGATGTTCTCTTTCCTTCCCTATAGTCACACCCCTTCCTATCAGAATGGCCACTCAGTCTGTGAGACTCTGGCTTATTTCCAGAGATCTTCTGGGGAAGACAACCTTCTTTTTGTTCTTTCAGCACAAAGGCAGGAGGCCTGCAGCTTTCTTCCTTGTCACCTGCCTTGAGGAGTGCTGTACCCCTTCGAGCTTTAGGGACATAAAGGGCCATGTCAGGCCTTTTGATTCGAACTCTGCATCTCTCTGCTTCTTGCTGCATGGCACCACTTCAATCTGAAAAAAAGGGAAGATTTAATAATAAAAAATTAATTATAATGTACTGAACCAAGAAAAATTCAAAGAGACACCATGTAGCTGCTGTAGGAGAAAGATTCCCTCCAGAATCTTACTTTACCAGTAGGTCACAACTTCAGGGTGATACACAGATTAATAGAAATGGACTAATTCAAGATGTAAGATCTAGCCAGAAATATGTCTGAGTCATTGGCTGAACAGTGTTGTAACTGATATAGTTTCTGTGTGATTATTCGGATCTGAGCAGTTGGAAAACAAATGAGCAATCTCTGCCTACATAGACTTCTCCTATGAAGAGCATTTTCAAGAAGGATCTCAAAAAGCCACAAATGCCAGCATATATACATACATACACACATGCGGAGGGAGGGCGGGGAGAGAGGGAGAGAGACAGAAGAGTGATTTGAATGCCATCTACACAATAAACAAAACTGACTGAAGAAATCTTCCTAGAAAACAGTACATTTATATCATGATATTGCTGGGAAAAAAAAAGTAGAGAAAAGAAAAAGGTACTGAATTACCCTGGTCTAATCATTACATATTTGTTTGTGTGTGTGTGTGTGTATGCATGCGCACACACACACACACACATGCACTGGTATGGTGTGAATGTCACACTGAGATTATAACTTTACAATGTTTAAGAAAAACTTTTTTTTAAAAAGTTTAGGTCAACCATCCTTGATCTAAAAAAATTCAAATTTCAAAACCCAAAACTTTTGGAGTGACATGTCAGCATTCAATACTGGGTTTTGGAGCTTTCAGAATTGTTCCTGGATTAGCAATGTTCAGCCAGTAAGCCAATATACCAACATTCTAGGAATACAGAAAATCTACAAACCTCTGAAACACTGCTGCAACGCATTTGAGATAAAGGAGACCCAGCCTATGGTACTATTCACTTAAGTGGCCTACGCTGAGTTTTCTCTCTTCTAGCGGTAATAAGACAGATCCAAGCAGGAAGGAAGAGGCTGGAGAACAAGAAAACTATGATGAGCCAGTTCACACTCGTAATCCCTGATAGCCTCCACTATGGTCTGTCAAAGAATTTAACAGAAATTTAAGATTAAATAAATTCTTATCTATTAATACTAAATACACGGAAACATGCTAGGCATATTGGATTATTCTTTTAATTTTCAAACTAGTGCTGTGAAGTATGATGGTCTTACGACAAAGAGAACAAAGGGTTACATGTAACAAACCCAAATGTACCCTCTGATAGTTCACCACATGTTATTTTAGAAGAGAGACATGAAGAAAGAGGGAAAACCTGTCACTCCTGTTCACTTTATATTAGATTCCTAAAAAGTCATCTGGTCCAGAATATTCTTCATTGATGACACTCTTTCACGGCAGGGTTTGTTTTTGTTTTTTTTTTTTAAGCCTAAAAAATTGTCATGGTCAAGTATCTCCAGGGATGTTTTATTTCTGGGTTGCTTTTGTTTTTATAACAGAGTGTCACTAAGTAGCCTAAGCTGACCCAGAACTTGGTAGACAGCCAAGGTTGACCTTGAATTCAAGATTCTCATGCTTCAGCTTCCCCAGTGAAACAGCCTTAAGTCATTTAGCCTCTCCTCTTCTATTAATATACTTATTAGTGTGCATGTGTGCATATGCATGCATGTGTGTATGTGTGTACATGCACCATTGTGCCATGTGAAGGTCAGAGAACACCTTGACAGGAATCGGTTCTGTCCTTGTATCATGTGAATCCTAGAACTTGAACTCTGATTATCAAGCTTGGCAGTCAGCATCTTTACTTGCTGAGCCACCTAGCTGAAGCCCTGTTGCTATTTTGAACTCTTAATATCTAGCCTAACAGTGTTCACAGGTTTTCTATTATTCTGACGGTGTAAGAATACAATTTTTTAAAATGTATTAATTTATGTGTACATCTATGTACATACAGGAACACCACAGTGCACACATGGACGTCAGAGTTGGCTCTTTCCTTCCATGGATTCTGGGGACTGAGCTCAGACCGTCAGTCTTGGCAACAGGTACCTTTACCCATTTTGTTGGCCTATGATTTTAATAGTGAGCCAAATTTCAAAAAGGTCTAAGTTTCAAAGAAACTCTAAGGAATGTGATTAACAGTATGTCAATTTCAATTAGTAAAACACCTATCAGTATATACCTCAGCAAACTTCTGGGCAGAAATGAACAGATGTGGATTAGCTGAAATAACTTGTAACTTGCTTCAGCTGATTAAATAGCAGGAGTAACGGTAATGAATACAGGTGAATTTACAGGGAGAGAGCACTGAACAGTATGGACTTTAATTCTTATGACCCTTTCAAATTTAGTATTTTATATGGGATTCAGATGCACACAATAAACAAACAGTACAAAAGAAATGTCCAGCTGACACAAAACTGATGGGATTAATAAAGACAAAAATGACAAAATTATAATTCAGCATCATTTCTAGAATCTGAAGTGAAAAACTAAAAGCAGTATGAAGGCAATAGACAATAAATACAAGGATCGGATCTGTTTGGGATTTAAAAAAAATCTAACAGAAGATTTATGTCTGTAAAATCTACCCAAAGTATATGAAGGCTTCTATTTCAGCCATAAGGTCAAGAAAAGCCAAAATGTGAGAAGGAAGTTTTAAAAAGCATAGAGGTAGGCCATACTATGCATGATTAGGAGAACTAAATGAGGGCAACCCAGAGGGCTTTGGATGAAGTATCACAGCTAACGTTACACCTGAAGACCAACTGCTCTACATAAGTGACATTTTTCTCCCACATTTCTTTGTGTCTATGTTTCTCCAGAATCAATTGGCAGAAATTAAAAGCAACAGTTTTAAACTCAATATAAGAAAAAACAAAGCAAAACAAAACCCTGTATTTCTAGAGTTTTCCAATGCTATTATCAGGTTACAGGTGTTGCTTCCAGTAAAAACTAAGTACATCTAAATGATTGACATACACTACAAGAAGCATTTCTATTTATAACAAAGGTAGTCTAGTTTTAAGCATCTTTCAAACTCTAAATCATATTACTACCTCTAATCTGTAACTAGACTATTAGAGTCCCCAAATTATGTACTTTAAAATTGTATGCTATAGTGAATAGTTTTCAAAACAATCTCTTTTCCTGAATGATCATATATCATAATAATACCATCTTAAACTGGAATAGTAATACAATAAACTTATAATGTCTATTTCCTATCTAAATGCTAAATTCAATTGGTCCATAACAAGCAGTGTCTTCGTAAATTACCAACAAGCTCACAGTGTATTTCAGTGTGTTGGCTGTTTATACCAATGATGTCTATAGTAAGTGATTCCTTTGCTCAAGTGGATAACTACTCTGAATAATGGAAGAGTACATCTTCATTTTTTAGCTATTCACAATATAGTAGCTAAAGACACGACACATTTACATTAGTATTTTCATCGTTGTAAGTCTAGACGATCAATACATAATCAAGTCCTGATTTATGGCATCTGCCAATCTTTGTACAATAAATATTCTTACCTTGGATAATTTCAAGCTACCAATGTAGTATCACTGAACACAAATTTGGGGAAATTTGTAAAGACATATACTAGTCTTCATGTATAGAGATGTATGATACACTATAATTTTCAGAGCACAGATCATAAGCAGTTGTTACATTTTAAAGACTCAACATACTCAATACTAAACCTATGTGTTTAGATTATGGGACTGGGGAGACGGTTCCAACAGTAAAGTGCCACTTGCCATGCATACATGGGGATCTGAGTTCAGCCTCAAGCACTCATGAATGGGAGGGGGGGAAGTTATGCCTGGTGGGCTTGTGCCAGCAGCCCTGCAACTTCAGAGCCAGGGAGCAGACAGAAGGATCCAGTCAGTTTGCATAACCAACAAGCTCTAGGTAAAGTGAGACCTTGTCTGAAAAATAAAGAGGAGAGCCACTGCAGAAGACCCCTGATGTCGACCTCTGTCCCACCCCACCCACAGGCCCACACTTGCATACATAAATCTCACCACAGCATTTTGTAGATGGAGGCCATGCTTTAGTTTCCCAGCCACCCAGACCCAAATAATCACACAAAAATTATATTAATTACAACACTGCTTGGTCAACAGCTCAGGCATATTTCTAGCCAGCTCCTATATCTTAAATTAACCCCATTTCTATTAATCTGTGTATCACCATGAGAGTGTGGCTTAACAGTAAGTTTCTGGCATCTTTCTCCTTTGGCAGCTACAAGACTCCTGACTCCGCCTTCTCTCTCACTGTATTCAGTTTAGGTTTCCTGCCTACCTATATTCTGCCCTGTCATAGGCCAAAGCATCTTCTTTATTAGCCAATGGTAATAAAATATATTCACATCATACAAAGGAGAATCCCACATCAGCATATGATTTCTTTCTTAAACTCAACTCTTCCCCATACAGTTTAATTTTTTAAAGATTTTTCTAATGTTGAAAGAGCACTTTACCAAGTTAAGAGAAGAAAAGAATTAGTTATTATACATTTTACAGCTTAATTATTCCAGAAAGACTAGAAATATTCAGTTTTGTCCAAAATTACATTTTCTAAAGGGGATAAGTAGCCAGATTTCTTTTTGATAGAGAGCAGCTAATTACAAAAATGTACCTTTGAAACAATTCTGGCCAAATTGTTTTCTCTGTAACTTTTGTGCACTGGGACTATACTTTAGCACCTTTCCAACTGTTTCTACTGTTTTAAAGTTCTCTTGAGAAAAAAAGAGTAACTTCAGGTACGTCTCTGATCTATCACCCTAAGAACATAAATAACATGAACAAATCAAGTTAACTTTTCCTCAACAAGCCCACATTGCTTTTCCTATATCTGTTATCTGAACATACACAGCTCTTCAATCAACAGCAGGGCATTAACCTTTAAATATTCAATAGACAACCATAAAGTGTCTAGGCTCAGGACTTTACAAGGCTCATTCATAGTATCTAATATTAGAAAGAGTGTGCTAACAATGCTTTTAGAA